TCCTCCGAAACTTCCTCCTCTTCAGAGCCAACTTCATCCGTATTTGGGGTATCAGCTGTATTCCCATTGTCGCCATCGAGCAGTACAACGTCAACATCAGAGTTGATTGAATCACCTTCGTGTGCAGGAATGTCATGCATACCACATGTCGATTCATCAAACTTGACATCCCGTGACACAACAATTTTATTCAACTCTCCGTCCCAAAGTTTGTATGCCTTACTGCATTGCGAGTACCCAAGAAACATTGCTTCACGCGCTCGCAAGTCCAGCTTACGGAGCTCTAATTTTGGTAATGTATACCAACACTTTGACCCAAATACTCGCAAATGGCCAACATTTGGAGTAGAATTCATCCAAATGTGGTGCGGAGTTGTATTAACGGGCAAAGCGCGTGAAGTAACTCGATTACGTACATATACCGAAGTGGCAAGAGCCTCGGCCCAGAATCGCTTACTGACCTGTTTATGAGAAAGCATTGAGCGGACAAGATCAATCAAAGTTCGATTTAAACGTTCAGCAACACCGTTTTGTTCAGGGGTGTATGCCGTTGTGAGTTGGTGCTGCGTACCGTTTAAATCTAAATGCGACTTGAATTCCGTCCACAAGTACTCTCCACCGACCCAACGGTCCCCCCGCCGTACCCCTCAGCCCACCCCCGCGACCAACAATGAGCGGCCGCGACCTCCCCCGCTCGGCGACCTACTCCGTGCGCGACTTCTCGCCGACGCGCGCGCGCACGTCCGCGACGACGGGCACGTTCAACTCGCGCCGCGGCGTCGCGGCACCGCGCACGCACTCCTTCGGCCACGCGCCGGACCCGCTCCTCCCGAGCGCCATCCCCGGGTCCTCCACGCGCGGCAAGCCCAAGCGCCTGGACCCGTTCCTGACGAAGGTTGTCGTCAAGGTCGACGAGGCGACCGAGCCGGGCATCTCCGAGGAGGAGGGCGAGCGGAAGCGCATCGAGCTCGTCAACATCGTGCTCGATCGCACCGGCGACGCCGCGCATACCTCGCACGGCGCGTCCGTGATCTCCGGCGGCCAGGCCGTCGCGTTTGCCCTGCGGAAGAGGCTCAAGAGTGAGGACGAGATCGCCGTGCTCAACACCCTCACCTTGTTGGATGAACTCATGCGCACGTGTCCATACTTTTACCGCTTTATCGCAAACGAAAAGTTCTTCCGCAGGCTCTGGCGCTTCGTCGTCCCGGACTATAAGGACGGCGTCAAGTCGATGATCCCCATCTTCGGGAAGGTCCGTATTCATCAGGGTATGCGCGGAAGCGGCTCGGAGATTTCAGAGCGCGTCCGCATCCTTATTCGTGCGTGGGCGGAGGAGCTTTCCGTCATGCAGAAGGGCCGCTACGACCCGGATGCAGGTTTCCTTATGGAGCGCTACAACAACAAGCGCTCCCGTGTCAACTTTCCGCCGGTTCCGGAGACCCCGTTGCCCTGGGTCTGTCCCGTCAGCCACGGCTCGGCGTCTTCGTCGCGGCGCGGGGGGAAGAAGGAGGAAAAACTCACCCTCACCTTGGCCGAGGTGGAGAACACCGTTAGTTTGTTTTCCAATATCGTCGACAACGCAAAGTCAGTCACCGACCTAAAGGACGAGGTCTGCTCCGATATGGCCGAGCGCTGCTTGTACATCAAGGCAAACCTCTCCCGCATGAGTATGAACATGAGCAAGGAGACTGAGCTCACGCGCGCCATCGCTGTCAGCGAGTTGCTCGAGAAAAGTCTCACCCAATACCGGAGCAGCTTGGAAAGCGGCCGCATCGTCAAAAGCATTCCAACTGTCGATACCATCAGTCTGCAAAGCGAGGACGAGGGATACGGCGACCTTGACCGCCGCCAGACCTCTTCTCACAGTCTGGATCGGTATCATGACTCAAGGCCTCGGGAGCTTGAACGACGTCAAAGTCGCTACACGGACGAATCGGATCATTCGAGTGCCGGGGTTGTAACCTATCCGCCAGAAGATAAGCCGTACAAGCCCCGCGATCGAAGCCGTTCTCCTGCTCCTCGTCGTCGTGAATCTAGCCCTGATCAGAGGAGGCCATCCAACTCTTCAATAGAAAAAAGATCGCGTCGCGACCCGAAAAAGTCTCTGAGACGTCGGGAAAAAAGCGACAGTGACTTGGTAGAGCTTGCCAAACAAAAGGAAAAGATGAAGATAAAGAAAAAGAAGGCGGCAATAGCCGCGGCCAAAAAGGACCAAGGTCTCATCCAGCTTCCTGTCGAGGATACAGTGTTTAGCTCAAGTTCAGACTCAGAGGATGAGAACGCCGCCAAAGACGGGTCTACGCTTCTCGCAGAGCGCTATGCTTCCCGCAAAGGTTCAAAAACGTCACAGTCTCAAGCTGCGTCTAGCTCTAGATCAGTCGCCCTAAACGGGAGTTTGACATCAGTTCCACCTACCGCGTCTGCCGCGAGTCCCGCAGTTCCTGGGAGCGCGAGCTCGGCAGGCTTTCCACCAAATCCTGCTGCTATGTACCAATCTGTGGGTTCGGGAATGGGTTACAATCCAATGATGATGGTTCCAAATCCATACGCCATGTATGGGTCTGTCAACCCTATGCCAATGGCTGACCCTATGAATATGTATGGGGCATATCAGACGGTCAATCCAGCCATGTACTACAACACTGTGAACCCACACATGTATGCCACACATCATATGCAAATGATGCCCGGAGTGCAGCCGGGAGTTGGTCCCGCTCATCCAAATCCGCAAGCTAACGCGCAGTCTGCGGACGGCACCCCTTCTCCAGGTCAATCTAGTCAAAACATGTTCATGCCTGCTGCTCCCCCAGCTAATGCCCCACAGGCTGTACCTCAACCATCATTCCCAACCCCTTCCGAACCTCAACAAAGTGCCCCCAATATGACTACAGCAAATCCCGGGACGCAAGCTGCGGCAATGCCAAGCCATCCGATGGCGTCATTTTATTCTAGCAGTGCGGGTCAAGCCCAAATGGGGTCTCAAGGCGGCTTTCCGTTCATGATGCAACCCGCATCCGCACCTGCGCCATTTCTGCAAACAGCGCAGACTGACATGCCTGCGGCCCCGGATGCCCTCACAGTTCAAATGTCGCAGCAGAACAACCCGAATGCTCAAGCCTTCGCTTATCAGTCGGCGATGCATCAAGCGGCCGCTGCGTATCACGCAGCGGCAGAAGCGTATCGGAGTGTCTCTGGGCAAGCCCCGATTGGCGCCCCGCAAGCAAATAACTCCGGCAACCCTCCGATGGGGCAGAACAGGGGGGGCGGTGGAGACTAATTATTGCAAGTAATCGTCGCTGACGTACTTCCGCGAGGGGTATTGTTGCGTAGGTGGCACTGGACGAAGCTCGCGGCGAATTTGAAAGATGAATCTCCCTGCGTGCGTTGCGAAGTACTGATGAATTGCGTGACCATCGTTTCATGAAGCGACTCCGACGCTCTCGGTTGTCACCATTTTTCTGGCAAAGAACCGCTGTTGCAACTTGCGAAAAGATAATTGAAGGAATTGAAGGAATCAGCCCATTCCGCAAAGTTTGTAGTCTCAAACTGATTATGGAATTTATTATCTACAGTCTCCTTGGTGGGGCGGAAGTATGAACTTAAAACTCCTCAGTAAAAGAGAGAAAAAGTATGTAACTGTCCAGTCGAGTTTTACTGGAGTAGTTTCGCTCGAGTAACTGTAGTGGGAGATCCCGCAGAATGTTCCTATCGTTCCGTAGAGAGAATTCACAATCTTCGATCGACTTCTGCGAGCACACATCATCTGCCCTCTATGAGTCTAAGACAATTTTGCGAAACCATTCCTCTACACCATTTGATATTTTGAAGATTTCTGAGCCGGACCTTCGAACTGCTTTGCTCCCCCCGCTGATACTGAACCAGCCGACGCCTTGCAATGCCGCCACAAAAATGTTCAACGCACCATCACTTAAAAGCTAACTAGGCAGTGGATCTCATGCCGAGCCAGCCTGCCTTTGCAGCCTGCGATCCTCTTCCACGACCCTGGCCTGGGTCTCAACAATGTCGGCCTCTTTCCCAATGAGTCCCATATGCGAATTATAATCCTCCGAGCGCTCATCCAACAGCTCCTGCCTCAACTTCTCCGCCTCGATCTGTTCATGGGTTTTCCCCGCCTCGGTCGCATGCGCAGACGCCAAATTGGCCATATCAATCGACGCCTGCTTAATTGCCTCCTGCTCCTGTGCGCTAAGGGTCCTCTCCCGAACTGCCGGAACTCCGCTCCACAGCTCGCCGTCAGCGATCTCCGTGCCCGGAGCGACGTAGCTCCCGGGGGCGACCATGGACCCAGCTCCCACGACGGCGCCCTTGGCGATGACGGCGGCGGGCCCGACGACAGAATTGGGGCCCACGGCAGCCGCCTCCACGACCGCTCCGCACGAGATGGTGGCGGCCGCACCGACGCGCGACGGCGCATGGATGACGGCGCGGTCCTGCACGGCAGCGCGTTCGCCAATGGTCACGGGGCCCGTGTCGCCGCGGATGACGGCGCCGTACCAGACCGAGGAGGAGGCGTGCAGCTCGACGTTGCCGATGACGCTAGCCGACGGTGCCAGGAAGACGTCCGAGGAGATGATGGGCTTCGAATCGCGCAGATTCATGACTTGGCGGTGGCGCGAGACTGGAGAGGTGGGGGCGGTTAGATGGGCGCGGGTTTCATGGTGGGATGGTGCGGTAGGAGATTGGGTGACTTACGTTGCTCGATGAAGGCGTACTTGCCTTGCAAACGGGAGCCGACGCGATCGAGGGCCTGGCCGGTCTCGCGTATCATCATTCCGGCCGCGTAAGCTGCGCGACGCATTGTGGGTGGGGGATGCGGATCAGGGGGGTTGGGGGATTCCGGTGCGAACCGGAGGTGGTGCGTGGTGGTGCGTGGTGGCGACAGGAGGGTAAGGAGCAATGCGGATAGGTATCAGGGAGGGAGCGGGATCGGACGGGATTGTGCGTGCGCAAAATTGCGGTGGAAATTAATTTTTCGGGAGGGGAGGAACAATTGGAAGTTGGGGAATGTAATTTCACAGCAGAGAGGGGGTAATTGGGGACAGATGGAAAGGGCAGTGTGGACTTGGCTATCTATCTCGTCAAAACTCCGCGGTAAAGGGCGCCCGTCTAGGGGAGGAGCCGTCGCAGTGGCAACGCAGGAAGCGCAATGGAGCTAGAGCGTGGTGCCGCGAGTACAGCAACGCAGTAAGCAAACAACTAGATCAACTAAGCCATGCAGTTCGTTCGGTAGGACGCGCTCGCAAAATTCTCTTCTCTCTCTTCTCAGACGCAAGTTTGTGCAGTTGCTTTTACTCTGGCAGTGCGTCGAGCTTATCCGCGCTTGCTGCGAAGGGCCTCGCTCATCTCCTCTCTCTTGCGCTTTGCGCGGATGTGGGTGCCGAGTCTCTTCTTCGCGAACTTGAGAGCGCGCTTGTCCTTTCCGATCCGGAGCAGCTCGATGATGCGCTTCTCGTACGGTGAGAAGCCGACGACCTCCTTCATGACCTGGCGGACGACCTCGCCGCGCACGGTGACGCGGCCCTTCGTGTGCGAAGACCGCTTGGCCAAGGGGATGCGCTTGGTGACGATGTGGCCCTTGTTAATGCCGACGGCGATTCCGGCCATTGCGAGAGACGTAGGGGGGAAACGGGGGTTGGGGTCGGGGAGGGGAGCGGCGCGGCTGAAAGGATGCGAGTTGAGGGGCGGGGAGGGGCAGGCGGGGGAAGGAGAAACGCCTGATCGCCGACATGGTTCACAATCGCGGACACCGACGACGAGTCAAATTGGATCAATGAGAAAATTGTAAAAATAGTCGATTCCCGCTGGAAGGGCACACTGCACGCCCGACGGCCGGGCCGACCTTTCCAATCACTGCCCGTTCCCCCCGCCCTCCATTCCCAGCATCCCCCGCCGCCCTCCACCTCCCCAGCGTCTACCGCCGAAGCGCACCCCCCGTCTTCCTCTCTTCCGTCCCCCATCCCCTGAACCCCCTGTCCTCCCATCCCCCACTCCCTCCATCACCACCCCAACCCTACCGCGTCCCTCGGTTTGCTCCGCCATGGACGTCACGCAGATTCTGCTGTCGGCTCAGAGCGCCGACCAGGCTGTCCGACGCGAGGCGGAGCGCGTGCTGAAGGAGGCTGAGGAGAACAATTTCTCCCTCTACCTCGTCCGTCTCGTCGACCAGCTCGCCGGCGATAACCACGAACCAGAATCGCGTCGTCTTGCAGGCCTCATCGTCAAGAATGCTATCGATGCACGCGACCCCGCCGTCAGAACCCATCTCGCTGATAGATGGATCCACACAGTCGACGAGCCCTCCAAGGTCCACATCCGCTCTGTCCTTTTCAAGGCACTCGGCGCACAGGCCCCGGAGCCACGTCGCGCTGCCGCACAAGTTATATCAAAGATTGCTTGTATCGACTTGGCCAGGCCCGGCGCATGGGACTCCCTCATCAAGGACTTGCTCACCAATTGCACATTGCCCACCTCCGAAGATCATCTCAAGCAGGCCTCGCTAGAGGCCCTGGGTTACATCTGTGAGGAGGCCGCTTTCGGACACCTTGGCGAACAAATTTTATCCTCCAATTCCAATGACATTCTCACCGCCGTCATTCAGGGCATGTCATACCCGGGCTCGCCTGTGAGTAACGAACAGTCCATTGCTGCCGTCCGTCTCGCTGCGACCAACGCCCTCAACAATGCACTCGAGTTTGCCCACGCCCAGTTTGAGATTCAGGAGCAGCGCAACGCCATCGTCACCACGGTTTGTGATGCCGCCCGCGCAGGCGATGATAGTGTCCGCCAGGCGGCTTTTGAAGGCTTAGTTAAAATCGCAGAGCACTACTACGACAAGCTTCATGAGCGCATTGTCGACATTTATGCCCTCACAGAAAACGCTATTCGCAACGATATCGAACCTGTGGCTATGCAAGCGATTGAGTTTTGGAGTACCGTCGCAGAGGAAGAAATTACCCTCATCTACGAGGCCGACGCCGCACGAGAAGCAGGCACTGTTCCGGATCGAAGAAGCAAGCAGTTTGTCATTAAGGCGTTGCCATATATGTATCAACCCATCTTTGATTCTCTCAAAAAACAAGAGGATGATCCCCTTGAGGATTCGTCTTGGAATGTCGCTACAGCGGCCGGAGCATGTCTCGAGCTCTTGGCTCAAGCAGCTCCGGATTCTATCTTGGAACTTGTCCGCCCTTTTATTCAGAGAAACATTCCGGATAAGGCCAATTGGAGGTCACGCGAAGCTGCCATTCTTGCATTTGGAAGCGTGCTTGAAGGACCACCCATAGAACATGTCAAAGCCCTTGTCCGTGAGGCCGTCGGTATTCTCGTGGAGACTCTCCAACAGGATCCCAGCCTTGCTGTCAAGGACACCACGGCATGGACGCTCGCTCGCGTAGTTTCCGTTGATCGCGACACCACTCTCGCCCATCTCCCAGCTCTTGTGAATTGTTTACGAGGTACTTTAGCCACCGCTGAAAGCCCCGTTCTCGCGGCTCATATTTGCTTCGCAATTCACAATCTGGCCGTTCGATTCAGTGAGGAATGTGAGGAGGAGACTGGGTCTTTGCGGGAACACATTGAGGCACTTTTGCAAAGCCTATTACAAGCGGCTGATCGGGACGACGCCTCTGAGGGCTATCTGCGTATCACTGCGTATGAGGCTATCAACGCTCTTTTCCGAAGCGTCTCAAAGGATGGCATTCCATTTGTCCTTAGGTGCGTTCCACATCTTTTAGAAAAGCTGGTAGCCACGCTTGGTGGTCTACCTCGAGCGCTTAACGAGGACGAGGTTTCAGACATGCTCGAGCTACAAGGTCTATTGTGTGGGACCCTAGCAGTGGCTTCGCATCGCCTGAACTCTACGCAGATATCTCCCTATGCAGACAGCATGATGCAAGCATACCTTCAAGCATTTCGAATGAACGGTTCGGCGGCTGCCATTGAAGAAGCGTTGCTCGCGGTAGGGGCACTCGCTGAAGCTGCAGGCAAAGAGTTCAACAGGTACATGCCACATTTCATGCCCACTCTCCAGCATGCGCTTAGTAACATTGCGCATCACCAAATCTGTGCCATTGCCGTCTCAGTGGTGGCCGAGTTATGTCGCGCTCTTGGGAAGGAACTATTTGCCTATTCGGACAATATCGTGTTCTTGCTGCTTGAAGCGTTAAAAAGCAAGTCCTTGGTGCGCTCGGTGAAACCTCCAATTTTGTCATGTTTCGGAGATATCGCGATGGCAGTAAAGGGCAACTTTGAAAATTACTTGGATCAAGTGATGAATTGTATGAAGCAAGCAGCTGAGTCAAGCGTTCAAGTGAATGTGCTGCCTGACGACTTCGACACACAGGAATGGCTTCTGCTGCTGCGGGAATCAATTTTCGAAGCATATATTGGAATTATAAACGGGTTGCGGGATGAAGGGAAGCAAGAGCTCCTGACCCCACATCGGGAGTGGATTGTTGGGTTTTCGGAGTGGATCGTGCAGGGTGCCGCTCAAGGAGGCGCATTTCCCGACGAGATGATAAAACCAATAGCTGGAGTCATGGGTGACCTAGTGGATGCAGTACCAAGTACAAAAGAGCACGTGGCACGCAACGCATGGCTGGCCAATCTTGTAGATCGAGGCTCTCAATCGACAGATGAACGAACGAAAGAAACTGCAAAGTGGGCGTGGGCTACTATTTTCCAGTAGTGTTCGTCGTGGAGTAGTGAACGCGCTCAATTTGGAAATGTGGGGGGCAGAGGGGGAAGAAAGCGAAGTGATGCTGAACTTAATCGGTGTAGTAGCGAGGCAGTCGTCCCGCATTGACAGGAAAACGAAAAACACAAAATTTGAAAAGTGAATGAACAACACGCCGCAAGACGAAAGGTCTGTGCTCTGACCTAATTCAGGCTAACCTACTTTCTAGCTGTTTCTTTCTTCACATTGTAACTAACCCGAAACCCAGTCTGAGACCCTATCGATGTGGTATGCTATCGCTCCGCGTAAATCTTCTGCGGCGTTAAGGAAAGTTAATCCTCGAAGTGGAGCAAGCAACGCGTGAGCAGCCATCGCCTGTACGGCTTCAGTGTAACAGCTGGCAAGAACACCATCGACGACGATGTCTCCACGAGCTGTTTGTGGGTTGTAAAGGCCGACTCCGATACTTGCATGGATACTTTCAATGGTCTCGTTTCTACTTGTCCACAAGTCATTCTGCAGTACCATTGTAGTGATCAGATCACCTTGGCAAGCTTCTTTGGCGCGTAGCAATATACCATTCACTGGTAAAATGTGGCCTGGGGTAAGAGTAACAGATAGTCCCGCTGCAGTTGTCAACGTAATAAACCGTGCTCGAGCAAATGGGTCCGAATGTGTGAAGGCTATGACGGATGAATATTCGCCACTACCGGCAAGCACTCGGTCTCCTATAACGAGCTCCGAGATTTTTACGGCCTCACCACTCTCAAGCTGTACAGTTGCGGCCTTCGGAAAGCATGTGCTCGTCCCGTCAACGTTGTCTCTGCCGTTCTCACCATCGCCAATTTGGTTGGCAGGATTGTTAGAAGAGGTTATGCTGGACGGTGCCGGAGGAGCCCCACCTTGTGACACAGTTGGAGTCGGAGTCGGAGTAGATGAAGACGATATCAATGACCCTGGAGTAACCGTCGTCGCGATTGTTTGAGGAGCTGATGTGTCTGGCACGTTCGTAGAAGAGATATTGGGTGTTGGTGTCGTCGTCGGTGCGGGTGTCGGGGGTGCCGAAGGGTTGATAAAACTAGACGGTATCAGAAGCCCCACTGGCGAACTGGATGAAGACATTGACTTTGATGGGGTAGCTTGCGCTGAGATAAAAGGAGAGTTTGAGCTGGACGGGAATGCCGCGGGTGGGTTGAGCAGAGAGTTGGACGGTGACGGAGTTGCCCGCAGTGGGCTCGGAAGATCCGTTGACGGAGATGGGATCGCCTGCGGTGCGCTGGAATGGGAGTTGGATGGAGCAGATGTTACCTGCGGTGAGTTGGTAGGGGTGTTTGACAAAGTAGGTGTTACCGTTGGTGAGTTGGTAGGGGTGTTTGACAAAGAAGGTGTTACCTGCGTTGAGTTGGTAGGGGCGTTTGACAAAGAAGGTGTTATCTGCGGTGAGTTGGTAGGGGCGTTTGACAAAGAAGGTGTTCCCTGCGGTGAGTTGGTAGGGGTGTTTGGTGTTACCTGCGGTGAGTTGGTAGGGGCGTTTGACAAAGAGGGTGTTACCTGCGGTGAGTTGGTAGGGGTGTTTGACAAAGTAGGTGTTACCTGCGGTGAGTTGGTAGGGGTGTTTGACAAAGTAGGTGTTACCTGCGGTGAGCTGCTTCCAGAGGTTGATGGGAAGGACGTCACCGGTGATGAATTGGAAGGTTGTGAAATTGGAGAAAATGACAAGGCGGCGGACACCAAAGCGGATGGTGAACTTGTCATCGACGTCAACGCAATAGCCGTGGGTGTTGGAAGGACTGACGAAGAAGGCGATTCCGAAATCTGCGGTGAGATGGATACGGATGGCAGAGCACTCGGCGTTGCGCTAGGGGTCGGTAGGCCCGAGATAGAAGGGCTTGATGGCTCCGATGAGGACGGCTGTGAGGAAGGCAATACAGAAGCAGTGAATCAATAGTTATTCGGAAGGCAATAATGCGAGGGCAGCAGAGATGGTTAGTGGCGGTTCAGGAAGAAGATGTGCACATGTTGAAAAGCAATACATACTGTTGGAGACGGACTGTCCGACGGCCTTGCGATATCGTTCATCACATTGCTCACATCGACATCAACTCGGTAAATACATGTGCTTCCTTCCCGGACCGAAATCATGTATCGAATGTTGGCCAAGAGAGGTAAAGACAAACGCCTGGGCTCTCCACTTACCACCTTCACCACCACGGACAAGGGCGTTGTTGTCGACTCATCAAAGAAAATGAACGTTTCCTTGCCCGTGAACCATGTAACCTCACACTCTCGAGGTGTATCGCTTAGGGAGACATAATACGTTTTCCCCCGCAAGTGGGCACTTAGATCGTCGAACAAGACAGTTGAGTATATATCATCCTTCATGTTGCTTTTCACCGTGGATAGTGTTTCCCCTTCAAGATTAACCGAAGAAGCGAGTGTCATCTCCCCATTATCCGTGCAGGGCCGAGCTTTTCCTTTTTCAGATCCAATCATCATATCACCATGAGAAATGATGAGGGTTTGGTTTACTCGTGTTGGGACTGCTTTGTACTCAATCACCTCAGGGCAGTCCTCAACAGAACCACTCTTATATTGCGTCATCAACTCGTAGTTAGCGATAAACTCGTTCGGAGAAAATGCTCGAACGCTCGTGAGATTGCTTTCAGCCCATGCAACAACAACTCGACGTTGAATTATAGCCATAATGACGATGAAGTACACCCTTTGTGCGTATTTGCTTGCCCTTGAAAACATTTTGGAAGAAGAATGGACTTGGATACTGCGCGACAATACGCGGATTTTTTAAGCCTCTGACAAGAATGGCTTCGTTCAATTCTCAAGAAATATGAATGAGGTGGTTTTCTGACTTGTTTAGACAAGAGAAAAAAGTAGGCGATTGCAGATTGTAACAATACCGCGTTTGTGTTTCTCAAAACAAATCTGGTTTTAAGAAGTCTCGGTTTCAAGCAGAGACCATGAATCCCAGTATGAGTGCAGGTCTCCACAGAAAATTTCCGGGCACCACCAACAGCAAGCGATGCCCAGGTTGTTGGAATGCACCATGTAGATTCATGTTTGATATTGGTGCATCAAGAAATTTGCCACGTACGAGCGATAGTGACAAATTCAAACTTGTCGGGAAGGATGTATTTTTGAAAGAAAGAAGCATTGCGTAGACAAGAATGTCGAACTGTTATATTGTCGCTCTTCACCACCGATATTAAATCAGCAAATTTTATAGATATGTTCACATTCATGGCAGCGGCCGGTCGAGTCTAATCTGGCACTTCGAAAACTTTTGGCAGGCTCTCTTGAAATACAAATGCACTGATGCTGCTCCAGCCGAAGTGTTTCGAAAATTAAGAATCCTGTCGTCATTCCATGCACATTAACAGGCACATATCAGCGTCACCTTGGTTCGAAAATAATGCTAAACACCGAAACCATCCAAATTTTCCGAGTCGTGTATCTCATTCCTATTCTGCATTATTCATCATACAGTATATTTGCTTTCTCTTGTTGGGACCAAACATACGGTCTCAGTGGTTCTCTCTAGAAAGACACTGAAATGAATTTTAATATATTAAAATATGCTCACTAAACTCATGAATCCCTCAACCAGAATCGTCGAGAGCAGTGTTCTGCTTACGTAATGCTTACGTAATGCCCACCCCAGGGCGAGTATATCACCAGGTGCTATGCATCTCTATCCCTCTCAATGTGGTATACCTTGTAGTCTTGTGTCTAAAACAGAAGTTTAACATCATTTAGAGTGTTTCATCATTCTATATCTGCGCTCGCGTTTTGTAATATGTGTTCTCATCAGTTGAAGTACGGTAGGTCATGGTCAATCCGAGAACACAAAGTATGAGAACAATATTTGCGAGCTTCTTGTACTTTAAAAGCGCACTTTAGTAAGCTCTTGACCCGCTCATAAACATCAATTTTGCGTCTAAACACGGCCATGCCTTTTGACTTTCAAAAGTGATAGAATTGTATTTCAGAATGAAAAGCTCTGAGCCTCAGGCTCGGTCTAAACAGAGATGCACATTGATGTATTGAGGAAGTGACGTACAGGGGGGTCGCGATATAGTGCCATCTTTGTTAGTGCCAGCTCCGATATATGCTACCTTTCTGCGGGTGGCACGAATTTTGAGCCAAAACGAAGGGTCTCCAGAGAGGCAGTTGGATGGACGTACTGCCCGAGAGCCGCTGCCGCCGCGGAAAGATATTATGCAGTTGCTAACTCGAATAGAGACTATAGTGGAAAAAGGCAGGGTCGATGATGCAATTGGACATCTGCAAAAGTGTAGGCTGGCATTTATGGCTGCGAAAAAGTAGGAAGTCAATGCGACGGCTCGGCAGCTACTAGTAACAGAAATGCTTGATTAGACTTGAGTCTGTAGTAGACCTTTAGTGCAACTATCCGTCCTTCAGTTTAAGGTTTACGCAACAAGAGTTTCACCAATAAATGTGAGAAATAGCGATATGATAGAGACTTATGAAAATGATGAATTTTAGAACAAGAGCAAGTGTAGACATTTGTTTACGCAAAATTCACTTGAATATGTACGTAGGAGTATAACTTAGACCCCTCTGCTCTGTGCGTCCTCAAAGAGCCGATCTCGAGACTCTCTGGCACGCACCATGGTGCTCGGGCGACAAAAAGACCACACAAAGCAGGCGGTTTGCTCACAAATTGCGGGGTGGACTACTTTGCTACCTCACATCTTCAAAAAAAGGAATGAGGATCCTGTATCAGCGCTCTCATCTAACTGCCTTTTAGCTGGTGTGCTGCTCGAGATTCACAGCAGCTGTGTAGAGCATTGCATGCAGCTTAAGCGCTCAAGGGAGATACAGCTCACCTCATTTGTTGACCACAGATATGATCATCTTTCTAACGAGTGTTTGCTCGCCATGTTTCGCTTCACACGTGCCGATATTTCTCGCATCGTCGCGTACGTAGCGTGGCAAACCGAGCGATACCGCACGAAACGTAATCGCTACGCCGCGAGCCCGCTTCTGGTTACGTGCATCATTTTGCGTCGCTTGGCTTCTCCAAACAGATGGAAAGACTTAGAAAGCCTGTTTGCTCTCCATACGTCACATCTTTCGGAACTGTTTTGGGAGAGTGTATCTTGTTTGTGGAGAAGCGGGTTGATCTTGTTATGGGGAACGTACACAAGCCCTTTTGGAAAGAACGCCATCAAGACTATTCGATAGCCGTTTTGGACAATAGTCATGCGCTGGACAACGTTGTTGCTTTTATCGACGGAACCAACTTGGCTGTTCCGAGGCCCGGTGGTCATGATATCGACCAACGCGTGAGCTACAATGGACATAAGCCGAAACATGCGGTGAAATTTCAAGCAATGACAACGCCGTGTGGCCTTTCTATGCATCTATCAGGTCCATTAGAAGGGCGAATACATGACTGGACCATGTATATGCAAAGCGGGCTTGATTCTACGCTTCAAGAGGCGTTTGAATGGGACGGAAAACAGTTCGTCTGCTACGGGGACTCAGAATACAGCTCTAGATCGTTTCTGTTTGTCCCTTTTTCCGGGTCAAACCTGTCTCCTGAGCAGCGAGCATTCAATACGGCTATGGCAAGGTCTGGGGTGACTGTTGAGTGGTATTTTCGGGAAGTGAAGCGGTACTGTACTTTTGTGGATTTTAAGCGGATGCTGCGATTGAAGGAAAGCGCAGTAGGGACCTTGTACATCGCAGCGGTATTTCTTACTAACGCACGGAA